AGGAGAGAACAGAAGGGAACCTCCCTATTATGATGGTGACATGAGATCCTGGGATGACAGCTTTGTACCAGGTATAGAGAGTAAATGGTAGGCAGAATAATGGCCCCCCCAAAGATGTCCATGGCCTAATTCCAGGAATCTATAAATACATCATGCTACGTGGCAAGGGGGAATTAAGGTTGCAGATGGAATTAAGGCTGCTAATCAATTTACCTTAAAATAGAGAGATTATTCTGGATTATACAGGTGGGCCCAATGTAATCACAAAGTTCCCTAAAAGATGGAAGACAGAGGGAGAAGAGTCAGTGTCACAGTGATGCAAATGTGAGAGAGACTGAGCCAGCCAGTGCTGGCTTTGAAGATGGAAGGGGACTACAAGCCAAGGAATGCCAGCAGCCTCTAGAAGCCGAAAGAGGCAAGAAAATAGACTGTCTCCTAGAGCCTATAGAAAAGAACAGCAATGCCTTGATTGTAGCCCAATGAGATCCATCTTGGACTTCTGACCTCCAGAACTGTAAGATAATAAATTCTGGTGTTGTTTAAAGCCACTAAATCCATGGCAATTTGTTATAGCAGCAATAGGAAACTAAGACACTAGCCAATGCAGACTGGAGTGGTGTGACTCAGAGCCTGGCATGTTGGGGGCAGCCACTGCCATTATCCTCTCCTACCGTACTGTCTCTCTACCCTAAAGCAACTTCTGGAGGACGTGTTCTACCTAAATAAGAAAAAGAGCAAAGAAATGGGAAACTAAGAGATCATGGAACCAGGGAAATCTATCCAAGAGAAGGAAAGGAAATCCCAAGGAAGACAGCAAAGGGAAGTCCCAGGACGACAGTCATGCCACTGGCCCAGGAGCAGCCAGCACAGAGAGAAGGAGAAGGGCCATCTCTGGGATGGATGTGCCCAAAGAAAACATACAAGAACCAATAGATTACTTGATGTGATTTCCCTTGTGAAGAATTGTACTGAGAGCTAATTGGATGGTGTGGGAAGAATCGACAATAGGTACCAAGAAAACTAAGCAATAAAAGGAAGTAATAATTATCGTCAAGGAAAAAAGAGCCCCTGCCCCCCTCAGAAAGAAAGGAAACCATCACAGTCTACCACAATACTCAGCTGTGAGCTTCGTCGTGAGTTCTGGCTGCTAAGGAGGTCAGTTCTGGGCACCCTGTGTTGTTAGTTACCCTGGTGTATTTCCTGACGTTACGCATGACTATGCTCAACACATTTATGGCCCAGATATATATAATTTTTTTTAACCACGGAAGACCTCCAAACTCTTCTCTACATTGGACATATAGAAGTTTTAACAGACAGAACTCATGATGACAAAAGTTTGGATGAAGTTACCAACCTGAGGTTTGACTGCTGGTCAGTCTTCAAAGCTTCCTCTAAAAGGTAATTACATACAGGTTTGTGGCAGCCATGGTTCTGTTGGGTTAACTGCATAAAATCACTTGTTTCCAGTGTTTTCCTTGCTAAGCTCTATGTCAGGGTGGGAGAAATGGTTTGCAGATAATGGAGGAGGAACAATATGTCCCTAGTTTTTTACAGAGCCTCACAGTGTGAGAACAAATGCTGATGCAATAGGTTCATACAAAAGACATTTTGTCAAGGAAAACAACAATAACCTCATTGCCTGTGGTCATGCTTTGTACATAGTCAAAGAGTGGGATTAAATACAAGAAAGTGGTATCTAGTTCGTCCTACGGTACACAGTTTATGGGGACAACTATCTGTGCAAAAGTCAGTGCTGCCTTCAGGGCCACTGATAATTTTCTTATTGCAAGGCCAGTAGGTCCAGCACAGCCGCCGTGCTGATGTTGCCGGACTTCTGACCGTGAGAATGGGTTACATGGTGTGCGTCGCAGGCCTTAGACCAGAATATTGTGAAAGAGAAAAACTGTCTCTCATTAGAAATCTGTCTTTTTTTAAGTCAGCAGACAAATTCTATCAGACTGCAGATGTTTAGCCACTTATGCCACACAGCTCTTCTGAGTTAAGCCCCAACTCAGGGAAGTCGGAACTGTTTCTGGGAAAAAGAAAATTCTAACGTGCTTCCTTCACTTTCAGCAATGCTGTAAGTGGAGTAAAGAAGTGGAAGCCGGGCGCGGTGGCTCAGGCCTGTAATCCTAGCACTCTGGGAGGCCAAGGCGGGTGGATTGTTTGAGCTCAGGAGTTCAAGACCAGCCTGAGCAAGAACGAGACCCCATCTCTACCTAAAATAGAAAGAAATTAATTGGACAGCTAAAAATATATAGAAAAAATTAGCCGGGCATGGTGGCGCATGCCTGTAGTCCCAGCTACTCGGGAGGCTGAGGCAGAAGGATCGCTTGAGCCCAGGAGTCTGAGGTTGCTGTGAGCTAGGATGATGCCACAGCACTCACTCTAGCCAGGGCAACAAAGTGAGACTCTGTCTCAAAAACAAAAACAAAACAAAAAAAAAATTTGGTTTCATTTACAGTACTTTCAAAATAATACCCCATAATTTATCCAGATTCATGTAATATATGTATTGCATCTGTTCACAGTTTCAATTTCTATTTATCTTAATATTTTATTTGACTCAGATTAGACTTCATTGTGAGTATACCTTCTGGTGGCTTTTTTTTTAAGTACTATTCAGTATGAAAGCTTCTTTATAAAACCTTACTAAAATATACCTTCTTTTTTTAAGCCTATGTATTTTTAGGTAGCTGGAAAGTAGGAAATTCCTTTTTTAGAATATTCTTAGGCATGTAAAGCACAAACTACATTTTAGTTTAAATTCATTGCTTCCCTCTCTTACTGGGAAGTTAGATGAGTCACAAATATTCTGTTGAAAGAAAAATCTAGTCTGCTTTGAAGAGCTTATTTAGCACAAATAAAGACAGTGACTGACCAGATTCTTTAAAAAGCAAACAGAGATGTCCTCATGAGTTAAACGAAATGGAGAATTGCTGCTTTGGCAGCACTTACAAAGAAAAACACTGGTGGGCATTTTCCAATTAGTACTAAGTCCACCATCACTGATGAGGTGGGGCTCGTGCAGAAGTTGTGTTTAATTTGGTTCACAGCATGTGTGATGATCACTACTCACCTAGGCCAGCACCTCTCAACTGGGGACAGTTTTGCCCTCTGGGGAAATTTGGCAACGTCTACAGACGTTTTTGGTTTACACCTGGGGGTGGGGTGTTGCTGGTATCCAGTGTGTAGAGGCCAGGGATGCCACTGAACATCCCAAAATGCACAGGACAGGTCAGGACAATGAAGAATTATCTGGCCCGAAGTGTCAACAGTGCTGAGGTCAAGAAACCCTCATCCTAGACCAAGAAATGAAAGATGAAATCTTTGGAAACAGTAGACATGGCACCTCTTTTTACTGTGTAGAATGTTCTGGTTTCATTTTCTATGAAGGGATCCAGTAGAATTGTTTATGTTGCTTCATTGTTGTGTTGTCATTGTTTTGCCTCTTTCAAGTGAACGGGTGAATGGGTAAATACATAGGGCGAAAGTCACAGGACAAAAAGTGTGATGTGCCTAATTTGTATTGCTTGGTTTTGCAACAGGAGTTGAATTATTGTTTACGAAAAGAGTAAATGGCAGAAAATATTTCTTATTTATTTTACTATCTCAAGATTTGGAATTTTATTTAATTACTCTAAATAGCATTTGTACCTAATGACATAAGTATTTTACTAAATTATGTAAGAATTTTGTGTTGATATAAAATTCTCTACTTATATAAACTCGTGGACTTATTCTTTATTCTATTAATAAATACTGAAAGAATAACTAAAAATGAGACGATTAGGATATATTTTGTACATATACCAAATATTCTTACTGTTGCACCCTGAATTTCATAGAGTATCTTATTGCTTCCCAAGGTTGTATTGAAATCGATATTTGGAGTTTACTGCTGCATAGGAGTGTGGAAATTTACCTGGAGTGGAAACCATGAACGAGTGACAACCTTGATTGGAATGCAGCGTCACCACAGATGAAATCAGATTTTTGAGCTTTAAGTTTCTCTTTTTTATGCTAATATAGCCACAGCTAGTTCTATTTTTAAAACTTCTATTATACCTAAATCTGCCAACAAATGTTAGTTTTGAAATTTAAAAAGACAAATAAATGGAAAATAGGAGAGAGAAGATAAAGAAATCAGAGGAGCAGTGTAGGAGTCCAACAACCTAATGATAGGAATTCCAGAAAAGACAAAATGGGAAATTTCCCAGAACTACAGGAAGTGAGTTTCCAGACTGAAAGGAGTCACCAAGTGCCTGGCACAATATAAGAAAGTAGACCCACACAGATGTATCATAGTGAAATTTCAGAATATGGAGGATAAAAAGATTATGTAAGCTTCTGGAAAGAAAAAATAGATCACTTACAAAGGATCAAAAATCAGAACAGTTTCAGACTTCTCTACCATAAACACAAAAGCTAGATAACAATAAAGCAATGCCTTCAAAATTCTGAAAACAATCATTTCCAACCTAGAATCCTATACCCAGCCAAACTATCAATCAAATGTGAGGATAAAATGAAGGCATTTTCAGGCATGCACCACTTCTCGGTAAACTATTAGGGGAAGTAGTCCACTAAAACAAGGGAGTAAACCAAGAAAGAGAAAGATACGAGCTACAGAGGATAAAAGCATTAATACAAGAGAGAACTGAAAGGAATCTCTAGGACACTAGTAAAGGGAGAGACCAGGATGGCAGCCATGCTTCACCACATGCTACTCAAGAGGCAAGTGTTTTGAAGGCCATTATCCGTAAGAGACAGATGTGCTAAGTGCCAGCATCCCCCAGATTCCTTCTTTCATCGCACCATCCTTTTAACCTGGCAATATTCAGGTATTAATGAAGTTCCTCCCGTGGCCCTGCCCACTGATTCCCCAGAAGAAGGCTCTTACAGACTCTTGGGGAAGTCAAAGCTGGACTGTGACCCAGAGACTCTGGGAGTCTTCACCAAACATTAACAATACTGTTCTTTCCTTACCCGGTCAGATATGTACCTGCTACTCAATTTTTATAGTAATCACCTTTAACATTCGTATATACAAATAGTTGTTGAACAATAATAACCCAATTGATTGAAAAAAATAAGAGGATACCCATTGGAAGATAACTAATATCTTATCATAGAGAGGAATAGGAATAAACTAACCCACACAGGGGTCGGTGTAGTAAGCACAGCTTCTTATCGGCAGCACAAAGGAGAGTTGCAAATGACCCCTATAGGTGGTGCTGGTGAATTCAAGACCCCCTTCCTCCCCATTCAAGTCACTGTGGCCCAGAGAGGCCAGTGGACAAGGCACTGGGTAGGCCAAGCAAAAATAAGCAAATAAATAAGATGAGGACAATTATGACTACATCTACTAACACAATTTGTTTTTTTGAGACAGGGTCTCGCCTTATTGTCCAGGCTGGAGTGCAGCTGGCACTGTCACAGCTCACTGCAACCTCCAACACCCCAGCTCAAGCGATCCTCCTGGTTCAGCCTCCCGAGTAGCTAGGACTATAGGCACGCGCCACCATGCCCAGCTAACTTTACATTTTTTGTAAAAACAGGGTCTTGCTATGTTGCTCAAGATGGCCTCAAAATTCTGGCCTCAAGAGATCCTCCTGCCTCGGCCTCCCAAAGTGCTGGGATTACAGGCCTGAGCCACTGCAGCCGGTGCCTGCTACAATTTATTAAGTGCACTTTCTGAGTCTGCACTGTGCTAAGCATAAAGATGCTCTTATTTAACTCACATTGCAATCCTCCAAGATAGGCAGCATCATTTGTACTTTCCCAAAGTGTAGGGAGCTTGACTAAATCCCCCAAGGTCACACAGGTGGCAAAGGCAGCGCCCAGACCCAGCCCAGGTCTGCCTGGCTCTGGGAGCCCACGCTCTTGACCACCACACTGACCAAGGCCGAAGAGGTCAGATCCCAAAAAATAAAAACGTTAATGCAAGTAAACAACAACAGATCTTAACCTCGTCATTCACCGAAAAAATTAAAAACCACCACTTTCTTTTGCATCAACAGTCACGTAAGAATTTTCTGAACAATGCTCTCACCCCCCCACCAAAAAAAAAGAGCGGGGAGGGAGCTGTAAGGGAGGGGAGGAAGTGAGAGAGAACAGGAGGAGAAAAAAGACACAAAGAAGAGAGAGGGCATGACCAAATCAGACCAAGTACGTAGGCAAGACTGCATCCCCAGGGTCTCCGGGGCTGGGGTTCGCTAAGGCTGGGTCACACAGACCTGAGCTTCACATCCCACTTCTGCTACTTACCAGCACAGGAAAAGACAGGTACCGGGTCTGAAGACTCAACAAAGATTTGTTTGATGACATGAATGGTCATAGACAAGTTCCTTAAGCTCTGTGAGCCTCAGTTTCCCCATCTGTAAGGTGGGGATCATAAAACCTGCCTCTAGGGCTGTCAGGGGACACCTCGGGGCCGGGGCCAGGGATGGCTCTGCAGCAGGGCGACCCTCAGGGCTGCGGCTCCTTCCTTGGCCATCGCCCCCCAACCACGCTCATCTGCACTGCCCACCTGCTGTCTGTCTCCCCACCCTCGTCCCTACCCCGACGGCAACGTCCTCGAGGCAGGAATTCTGTCTCTGCTTTTTTGCCTCTTCGTGCCTCTGTCTCCACCCACACTGATGCCCAGCCGCTGTCAGCTGAGGGAACCTCTGGTTCCTGGGGAAGGGACTCCGGCTGAGGACGCACCTGGTCGCTGCGGGGCACCCCGTAGCGCAGCTCGTTCACGAAGTGCTCGCAGTTCTCACTGGTCAGCTTGTAGAGTACCTCCTGCCCCACCAGCTCCTCCGCCCGCTTGGCGATTTTGTTGGGAGGCAGTGGCACGTACTTGTTATCGTGTTTGTTATTGACCTGGTACTTGTCTCTCCCAGCCACGTCACACAGCAGCTCCTTCTTCACTATGGCTCTGTTGGTCAGGGCGGACATCACGCTGGCCATACCGGCTCCCGCAACTTCACCTGCGGACCCACAAAGAGGAAACAGAGAGGGGTTGGTCCTGGGCAGGGTCCCAGGGGCTCAGAGCTGGGCATCTGCCCTTGGTACCATCCACAAAGGACGAGCAAGATGTGGAAGGCCTAGGCTGTGTGGCTTTGGAGAAGGCACTTGTGGTCTCTGGGCCCTGGTTTCCTTATCTGAAATGCAGAGTAGGGAAGTTCCATGATTTACTCTGTTTTTTTATAGCCCACAGAAGCTGGCCTTCTACACCCCATGATACCTAAGTGGCCCTCTTCTTGCTTATGCAGATATGAGCCAAGAGCATACTCATCTTTCTGGGAAAATAGGGTGTGACCCTCCTGTAATTCCATCGGGTCTACAGCTCCTTGACTATACAAAGCTGATTGCTGCAGAAAAGGTGCCTGGTTTTCAGGAGTCCCAGCCCTTCTGGGAGCAAAGGGACCAAAACACACAGCTGCTCCCTGAGTTATGACCCTAGGGAGGCCCAGTGGGTACACAGCACAGCCCTGGCCAAGGTCCTGGGTCTGGAAGGGGAAACAAAGGTCCAGAAACAAAATGACCACGAAGAACAGGAGTCTGGGTTCAACACAAAGACCAGGATGGTGAAGACAGAAAGTTGATGCCAGCAGAGACTGGGCGTCCCCCCCAACCCTGCCAACCTGTACAGTGGGTGGCAGGGCATGCCCTGGGTGTGGTGGCCGAGGAAGTGGGGATGCACTCAAGAGGCGGAACTAGGTGCCGGGGGCAACACGAGAGAGGCTCACTCTGCTCAAAGCCAGCTCGGCCCTGTCAGCGTCAGGGTCCCCAGGGTGCCGCAGCAGCACCCTATTAAACCAAGCAGGACCAGCCTTCGACCGTGGCACCCTGTCACAGCGACAAGCAATGGCAGAAGGGGCTGACCACTTTCCACATCCTGCTCTGAGTGGCTTTCCGGAGACGACCAAACCCTCACCCTGAGCACAACGCTGAGATTTTGGAAAATCCAGACTTGAGAGAAGCAGGGCAGGTGGCGCTCGGGGGACTCACTCAGGTGAACGAGAGACGGCGCCTTCGCCACCCCCGAGCTTCTGGAGAGGGCGAGCTCCTGAGGCCCGTCTGGGCTCAGCGCCCAGCTGGCTGGGTGACAGGGCCAGCACTGGGGTGAGGCCAGCAAGGGGCGAGGAGACGCCAACCCGTGGGGCCGTGGCAGCGCACGATCAACACCTAAGAGCGAGGCTTCCTCAGCCTGTGCCTCGGTGCTGCCCCGAGGGTGGTGCCACGTGCACAGGCTGACAGTCACAACTCCAGCCTGACGCCGGCTCCGTCACCAACCAGCCAAGTGACATGGACACGTCACCTAACTTCGCTGGGCCAATGCCGTGGGAATCCCCAAATACACACTAAAATAAACACACAAATACACACCAGTATGGTCATCTAAAGTTCATTGTAAAAGAATTCTTTGATTTTTTAAAAGTTATTAAGTAAACAGTCGTAGGAAGGGCACGTGGATACGGCAAACGACCAGTGACTGGCATCGGGGCAGCGGCAGACCGAGCAGATCAGGCAGAGCGCAGAGCCAGGCTGCCCAGACGTGAGTCCCGCCCGCACACTCGCCCGCGGAGTGGCCTGGGACAAGCTTTCAACTTCTCTAAGTCTCCAATTCTTTGCAGCAAAGGGACAGAAACAATCCCTGCCACACAGGGAGCTATAAGGGTTAAGGGAGTCGGCCACGAAAGGCGCTTTCGCCAGCGTCGTCACCGGGCAGGCGCGGCAGCAAGGCCACTGAGCTCCCGTCCAGCTCTAACTCCCCAATTCCCTCCTTGCCTCTCCTGCCCCACACGGTTCCCAGGAAGCTCAAAGGAGGAGATGCAGGTGGAAGCGTCTTTTCCATTGAAGGAGCATCTGTGACAGATCCAGTGATCTGTGACACACTTGTCCACCCAGATCCCTGTCACTCCTTTGCCTGCACCCCCATCCACCAACCATCTGTCCGGCGCAGCCCTCTGTCAATAAATACCAGGCCCTGCCCAGCGCCAGGCCCTATCCAAGGTGCTGGAGTCACTGCACTGTCTAGACAGCGGGCATGCCCTCAGCCAGCTCCCACTCTACTGAGAGGACGCGACGATGAACAAACACACAAAATAAGACACTTTCAGGTACTGACAAATGCTGGCTCAGGTCGGGCAGGCCCCTGAGGAAAGGGTTTCTGAGCTGAGGCTTGAACGGTGGAGACACAGCAGGGTCTGGGAAAGAGCACCCAGCAGACGGCCGGCCGGGGCAGAAACCCCAGGAAGGAAAGAGGTCAGCACGCTGGGGCAGCAAGGAGGCCAGCGCCGCTACAGTCCAGAGACCCACGAGGAGAGGAGAGAGACCAGGTTTAGGAAGAGGCCAGACCACGCCCAGCCCCACCAGCCATGGTGCGGCCTTGGAACGGTGTTCTACGTGTCATGGAGAAGCCGATCGAGAATTTTAAGGAGAGGAGTGGCATGATCCAATTTACACTTTAGAGTGAGCACGCCAGCTAGCCGTGAGTGGACAAGAGGCAGTGACCCCAGCCAGAGGCTGCAGCAGCATCAGGCGAGGGAGGGCGGTCACTCACACCAGGGGCGCTGCAATGGGGACGGTGAGCAGCGGTCAGAGCTGGGGCCTGTTTCAGAGGTGAAGCTAGCAGGCTTCTCAGAGGAGCAGACACGGGGTGAAAAGGCTGGAGAATGGCTCCTAGGCTTTTGGCCTGAGTGGCTGGATGGTGTCGTCCGCTGGAACCTTCTATCTGGGGCAGCCAGGTCCACGATGCCAAGTAGACACCCAAGTGGAGATGCCAAGGAGTCAAAGGTCATGCAAGTCTGGAACTGAGCGGGGCTCTGAGTTGAGGGTCTGGGCTTAGGAGACGTCAACCAATAGAAGGTATTGGAAGCCATGACCCCCAGTGAAGTCACTGGGCTCCACGTGGGGATGTGGGAGAGGAGGAGCAGCCCACACAGGAGACCAAAAAGGGAGGGTCCAGTGGGGGAGGAAGACAGGTGCCAGGTGGAGCAGAGAGGTCACTCAGGTCAAACGCGGCAGAGAAGCCAAGTGAGCGGGACCAGGAATGCCGACCTTGGGCTTTGTCCGGATGTGCACAGCGTTTGCCGGCCTGGTGAGAGCCGCCCCAGCAGAGGGCAGAGAAAGAGAGCCTGAGTGGGGGACCGAAGAGAGAACAGCAAGTGTGGAGCCAGGACGCCACACGCAAGGCTGCGACGTGACCCGGGGCTAACCCGAGAAGGACGAGAGGGTGGGGGGGGTGTTTGTTTTGCCAACGGGAGATATTCCAGTGGCTTCTACGCCCACAGGGACGACCCCGTCTCAAGGGGGAAGACAGTATCATAGAAGAGGTAGGAATTCGAGGAGCGAAGTTCTTATGAAAGGAAGGGGAGGGGTCCAGGCCCCACATGCTGGGGGTCTGGGGGTGGGAAGACGACATCTCCTCTGGTGACTACTGATGTCACCACAGGACAGGGCAAGGCCATGAGTTCAAAGTGGAGGGGTGGGAAAAAACACGGTCACGAATGTCCAGAGCCGCCCTGTTCACAGCAGCCAAAAACTGGCACCAAGCTGACAACAAACGGATGACACACTGGGCAGAAACGGATGAGGACGGGTCACAAAGTGTGGAATACTCACGTACGGGAAATACCTAGTGATGAAAAAGAACTGCCAATGTTAAATACTCTTAGCCTCAGGTTACAAATAAGGAAACCAAGGCCAGAGAGTAGAAACTGGATTCATAACCAAGTCCGTCTGCCCAAACACCTGTGCTCTTTCCGGGAGTCTTGTGTTTAAGAGTTGAATGTGCTGTATAAAAAGTCATCACATGAAAGCAGAACTGCCCCCTTGGACACCCCCTTCAGCCCCTCTATGGAACCCCCTGGGGTTCCAAGGAATGGACTTCGAAAACCACTGCCCCACCCCAGACTGCCTTCTTTTTTTTTTTTTTTTTTGAGACAGAGTCTCACTCTTTTGCCCGGGCTAGAGTGAGTGCCGTGGCATCAGCCTAGCTCACAGCAACCTCAAACTCCTGGGCTCAAGCGATCCTCCTGCCTCAGCCTCCCAAGTAGCTGGGACTACAGGCATGTGCCACCATGCCCGGCTAATTTTTTCTATATATTTTTAGTTGTCCGATTAATTTCTTTCTAATTTTAGTAGAGACGGGGTCTCGCTCTTGCTCAGGCTGGTTTCAAACTCCTGAGCTCAAACAATCCGCCCGCCTCGGCCTCCCAGAGTTAGGATTACAGGCGTGAGCCACTGCGCCCGGCCCAGACTGCCTTCTTATAACACTCAGGAACACAGCCAGTTGAAGAGGAAGGAAAATGTGGGAGTCACATGTTACCCACCACTTCCCCATCCCCCCCTCTTCCCAGCCCCTGGGCCCAGCACCGTGGAGGCCCTGTGTGCCTTACTTGGGGGGGCCAGGTGGACCACATATCCATCGCCAACATAGATGGCCCAGTGTCTGTAGAAAGGGCGGAAAATCTCAATCAGGTCTCCGATCTCTGGCTCTGGCTGCAAAACCAAGAACAGGGCTGTTAGAGGTGGCATGAGACCTTGGAACCTGGGGCAGGGCTCCGTCAGGCGGGTGCAGCTCAGCAGGACGTGTGTCCTGAGCCGATCCCTGCCCGGCTGGTCCGATGCCCGCCTGACTTCACAAGCCTGTGCCCCGGACCTGCAGGTGCAGATCGCCAAGTGCAGACCTAGAGGGTTTCTTCGTTAGCTGGAGTCTCCACCTGACCGTGACTATTTCTAGAAATATCATTTGCTGAACTCTTACCCTGAGCCAAGCCCTCTGTGTGTTCTACAGGGCGGCTCAATAAACCCACATGACCATCCTATGAGGCGGGCACTGTGATGAACCCCATTTTATGGATGAGGAAATTGAGGCCTAGAGATGAGAGAAAATTTGTGCAAAGCCACACGGCTGGTGGTGACATGGCCAGCACTAGAGGCCGTGGGATCTGGAGGGCACCCCACAGCACTCCTCACCTGACCTGGGCCCAGGGGGATCTAGTGTGGGTCTCCGGCAGTAACGCCCCCCAGGCACTCAGCCTGATACTGAGGGCTGTGAGTGCTCGCGTGAGCATGAACGTGTTGAGTGACAGACGACGTGTGCGTGTGTGAGTGCGGTGCGGGAGAGTGTGTGTGAGAGCGGAGAGGTAGGAAGGGTGCCACGCATGCTCCCAGAGTCCCGCCCTGTTAGGGGAGCATGGGGCGGAGTTTGAGAGAGGTTCAAGATCACTTCCCTCCGACAAGGTCGCATCCACTATCGGACCCTGTGCTAAGTGCAGGGGCCGGGGAGAACTCTGACTCGGGCCGGAATCTGAGGTGCCACGCTTCTCTGTCCAGGCCAACCTTCAGCCTCTGTAATGAGCGAGGAAACCACCCCTTTGGACACCTAGCCCAAGGTTGGCTCTGGGCCATCCACCCTTGCTGGAGTCCATCGCAGTCAGGGCTCCGCAGGGAGGATGGGGCTCGCTTATTATTTCGCAGCAATATTAAAACTACAAGCAAGCATCATGCGTGCCAGGGGGAAAGTCTTTTCACGAGAATGTTACAGATAAATCACGTTCTCTTTTTGCAGTACACACAATTTATCTTCCAAAAAGAGGGCGCCCGGTCCTTACTGAGAGCCCGTATCAGAACCACGGACAACGGTCACGATGTGTCAGTCCCATTTGTTCTCCCGAATAAAAGAAAAAAATGTTAATAGTTTGGTCAGAGTCAGGCAGTCTTCAAGGTCCCCCAGAGGGAATTTAACCAGGATCTCCCTGAACAGGCAAGGACGGAAAGACAGGGCAGGGCCCGGCCCCGGGGGAGGCTGTGATTGGACAAGGCGTGCCGTGGACAACAGCAACGTGACATCAAGCAATAGCAGCCCGCAGACACAAGGGGCTCGCTGTGCTCCAGGAAGACATCAGTGACAGGGACCTACACATGGAAACATGCTGCGTTTAAAAAAAAAAACTGGCCGGGCGCAGTGGTTCACGCCTGTAATCCTAGCTCTCTGGGAGGCCGAGGCGGGCAGATTGTTTGAGCTCAGGAGTTCGAGACCAGCCTGAGCAAGAGCGAGACCCCGTCTCTA